GAGTGAAGTGCAAAAAATGTGCAAAGTGTTCTTGTGATTTCTGAGCAATTTTTGATCTTGGAAGCCTTGAAATCTCATTTTTGGTTGTTAGGAGGTGTTTTTATACTTGAAAAATCAACTCTGATGGCAGCCAAATAGATTTTGACCGTTGGAAATAGTTTGGGAGCAATTCTGCCCGTTACTTTGTCTTTTAGAGTCAGTTGAAACTATCGGACAGAATGCACTTAGTTTACTAATCAATATTACTTAGTCGACTAAGTCGTTTTTGTTTCTGAACTCAGTTTTTGATAATAGACTCTGTCTTTGAGCATTTCTGGCGGTACCTTCTTGGTTGACTGACAAGCTTTCTTGGTCTATTGAGTCGTTTCTGTTTCTGAACTCGTTTTCTGGTAGTAAGCTCTTAGTCGACTAACTCTGTCTCTTGGTCGACTAAGTGCTCTCTGTTTCATGATTTCCTTAAACCCGCTAGCTTCTCTTTTGAGCTTCATCCAACCAACTCTCTTGAGTGTTCAACTTAGGAGCTTCTCATTCAATTACTCACTTATAGCTCTTTATTCTTATTAGTTTTGATATTGTCTCTTGAATTTTCAACTAATTATTAAATATATTTTTCCTACACACTCAAGTGGAAAGGTTAGATATAGATAAATGGGAATGTTTTTTTATCATCAAAAACTAAGGGAGCCAACAATCTCCCCCTTTTTGATGATGACAAAACATTCCTTGATTAAGTACATAATGTCTATTTGTTATTTTTGTTTTGCACCAGATTTGGATTTCTCCCCCTGAGTGTGTGCTCCCCCTTAGTATATGCATGGTATTTTCAAGTTATCTTTCCATTCATCTCAACAAGTCAGCATATTCTTATCTATATCTTAAAGGAAGTAACAAGTACAACTTCATATATTTGAATATAGTGACTTTATTCAAGCTTCCAAATCATTCAGATTACCATTCATTGTAACAATCTATCACCAGCATATTACCACCAATCCATATTCATACAACATCAATAATCACTGACATTTACATCAAAGGCAAAAGTATAGAAAATTTCAACAGTTATATATCAGCAACACAATATCCTTAAGTAATAAAAATATTGTTATCCATAGTTTAGCACCGCTAAACAAAATCAGCATCTTCAAAGCTAGTTTTCCTAAAATGCCCATAAAATTTCTAAGAACTGAATGCCCCTAAAATTTCTAAGAACTTCAACCCTGTTTTAACTGTCCTAAATTTCTCCCCCTTTTTGTCAGCATCAAATAAGAAACTAGCTTAAGAGGAGTCAGAAGGGGTAGATTCACTAGTTCCATAGAAGATGTTCAGAGATTCAGCAGATGTAATTGTCA